AAGTAAGTGATTCTGTTGGTTGGGTAAGTTCATCACCGTTGGGTTACAAGTTTCCCCAAGCAGAACCCCTTATTTAGTCTTTCCATCCCACTCTAACTATTCAAGGTAGCGTTCTTTCGTTGGGCCGATCTGCTACCCATTGTAGTTAAGTGCAAATATGTGACTTATTTATAGAGGAGAACCTCACAGTCATGTCCAAATAAAGACAATATATATACATATATAGGTTCATTTTGAATGAAATTTTGAACAAAATTACACAATAGGGTACTCTATGATCCTTCCAAATTTCAGCTCAATCCGAGGTTGGAAACCCCCTCAACTGGCCTCAAGAAGTCATCAATATGATAGTGAACCGGAAGATCAGTCACTGAACCAGTCCAATATCTCCTTATCCAAAGGGTGTTTTTGTGTGAAATTTCATACATAATAGGGTCATAGGGTCTAGTGGGGGCCCACAAAATTTCAGCTAAATCGGAGTTCAAAAACCCCTTGAACTGGCCACATAGCTGTGGTGTTGTCATAATCTGTTGGGTTGAGCCGAACCGGACCTGATCCAGACCGAACCGGTTCTGACAACTCTGATCCAACCCACGCGAAATCGAACTGGTTCAAGCTAAAACTCAAACCAAACCGGATTGGACCAATTGGAATGGGTCAAACTGGAATCATGCACCATAAGTTTACCGGGTCGGGCCAGGCATTGAATTGACTTGACAAATTCCATTTTACACCGTAGACAACAATTGTAGGGACTTGACAAATTCCATTTTACACTGGGTCGGGTCCTGTCAATTCCTGTCTTTACAGGAACTGTATTCATTGTTCACTATATTTCCATTGTTTCGTCTCCCTTAATAAGTAATATTTCACTCTTAGCTAGCTGCTCCTTACCAAGTAGATCTCTTTTGGTGGAATAGATTTGGCTCAGGGAACTGATCAAAGTATATGGATTCTAGGAGATTTGCTTGTTTTTAGGTTCAGAAGATGTCTTCGTGCAATATGTGGTTTCATTTCATCTTTTCATCAAATTAATTCTGCAATAGGTTCCATCTTGGATCCAATTTTATTGAAATTCTGGGTTGTGTTTATGTGAAGGGGTCATGTATTGCTGAGGTCTATTATTTGTGGAAAATTGCAATTTTATTGTGTTGCAAGAAGATGTAATTCTCTCGGTGGGAGAATTACACTAATTAAGGCCACGCTTGCTAACTTACCCATCTTTTTCTTATCGGTGTTTAAAATCCCAGTGAATGTTGCTAACAGATTAGAGAAGCTTATGAGAGATTTCCTGTGGGAGCCAGGAGAGGAGAAGAGGGATCATAGAGTTAGCTGGGAGATAGTATGTAGGAGTAAGTCTTGTGGTGGCGTGGGGCTTGGGAGAATCAGGAGAAGGAATATGACTCTATTGGGGAAGTGGTTGTGGAGGTTCCCTATGGAGAAGGAGAAACTATGGGCTAGAATAGTGGCAAGTATACATGGGCTGGAGCACAATGGATGGGACGCT